GGGTGAGGGAGGGAGTGAGCGAGTGTGGACGCGCATGCGCAGGCGCGCGTATACAGGGGGACCAGCGAGAGGGCAGGGCGGCCGGGACACCCACGGCAGCACAGTAGAGCGCGGGAAACATGACAAGGGCAGACACGGCCGACACGGACCTGGTCATCGGAGGCCGAAATGATCCACGGATACTCGTGGTGGAAGGCCACCGTGCGAATGTAATCCTGGTGGCCGGTCAGGGTGAAGAGGCAGCGGCGCTGCTTGTAATTCCACACCTTGACCTTGTAGTCGTCGCCGCCCGACACGAAGAGCGGCTGGGTGGCATGGAAGGAGACCGTGCGAACGGGGCCTAAACCCATCGAGAAAGGGGCAGGCGATGGGCGCATGTGCAGGGGCGGGGGCGGGGGCGGGGGCAGATGGAGGCGCGCAAGGTATGCGGGGGGCCGGTCAGAGGGGCGAAGCCGCGGCCACCCGGGCCAGGCGCGGAGGACTGGCCAGTCAGGCCGCCAAGGAGCGCACCCTCATGCTCGTCGAAGCGGTCCAGCAGGACAGCCACACGGTAGTCCCAGAGCTGGATGACACCCGTATGCAGGGAGGCGATGACCCACGGCCGGCGGGGGTGGAAGGCGACGCCCTTCACGCGGTTGGACTTGGTCTCGAACTTGACCAGCATCCGGCCGCTGCCGCCGGGCTGGCTGGCAGCCGTGGCGTGGTCGTCCATCAGGCGGGCGGGGGGCGGGGGCTGTCGGGCGCGCCGCTCGGGGCTGCCAGGCGTCGCGCAGAAGGTCAGTGTCAAAGCCGGAGGAGGAGGAGGAGGAGGAGGAGGGGCCGGGGAACAGCGGCAGGGGGAGCGGAGGGGATTGCAAGACGCACGGACGGCGAGGAAGACGGAGGTGGGAGGCCGGGCGGGAGCGACGGCCAGGGGGGAGGTGGGAGGGGCGGGAGGGGAGAGAGGGGGAGGAGTGTGTGTGGGGGTATGCCCTGGTGGCCCCTCACACCCGGGGCGCCCTTCAGTGCGCAGGGGATGGTGGCCCTGCGCAGGCTGGGGAGAGAGAGAAAAAAAAAGGGCAAACCGCCCGTTCCCCTGCGTGTGTGTGCACACTCGCCAGGCGGTTGTCTCTGTCCGGGGAGGGGGGGGGGGGGGCTTTGGGAGCCGCGTTCGGGGGGGGGGGGGGGGGGGGGGGCGTGCACGTCGCGCCAGAAAAAGTGTCCATCGGGCATTAATTGCGGGATTTTTATAGCTCTCAGGATGCCCGTTGCCCGCTCGAGCGGATGGCAGGCCCCGCCAGCGGGACCCCGCTTGTGGCAGCCCCCCAGCTACTACACAGGACCGGTGGCCGGTGTGCCGGGTGGCGGGCCGGTGTTTTTCCGTCTCTCAGGGTGGCCTTCATACCGCCCCCCTTCGACACCGGGAAGGAGATGATACACGCCGCGGGCCCGGCGCCGCCAGCGTCTCCGGGCCGGAGGGATCTGTCACGGAGCATGTGATGTGCGCCCGGATCACATGCACATGCTCCTTTAAAGCTCCCGTTCCGCCTGGCCGATCGCCACCGCCCGGCAGATCGGGTGCGATCCCCATGAGAGAAGCCCCTCCACACACTTGCCCTCCCCCTCTCCTCCTCCCCCTCCTCCTCCTCCTCCTCGCTCCTTCTTGTCCTGGCCGCGCCCGCCCGCCCGCCCGCCCGCCCCCCCCCGGTCGCCTCCTTTTCTCTGCTCCCTCTGCACCATGCGGGGGAATTCTGACGCCCCTGGCGATTCCGAAAGCGCGGTCTTCGCACAAGTCCACGCCTTGCGGACCTTCTCCGACACCTTCGGAAACATCCTTACCGGCATGTGCCGGTCGCACGACGACCAGCTGGTGGAAATTGTCGAGCTCTGGAGTCTGGCCAAGAATATGCTCGACTCGACGGACGCCATCGAAGACGTGCGGCCCTGTGAATACCTCTTGTGACCATGCCCCCCTCGCTCGGCGGTTGTTGCTTGTGCTGGCCTCCTGTTGTACCTAACCACAGCGCGTCCCCGGTCGAAGTCACACATCCTGCCCATGGTGGCCGAGGTGAAGGAGTTCATCTCGCTGGTGGAGTCGCTGAAGCACGATCGAGAGCTATGCAACGAGCTTGCCGCATCTGCCCTGGAAAGCACAGACGTCCGTCATCCCCCCCTCCCTCCCTCCCTCCCCCCCTCCCTCCCTCTCTCTGTCCCCCCTACTTGTCTCTTTCTCCGTGGCGCATTTTCGCCTCCTCTCCCTCCCTCTTGGCATCGGACTAACGGTCAGCCCTTCTCCGACCCAGTGCCACGACTTGTCGTCCGTCTTTGAGGGCCGGCAGCAGGAGCGCACCGCCATGTCGGCGGACTCCGTGCCGGTGGACATTCTGAATGCCCACCGCTCCTTCTCGGCACTGCAAAGCGAATTCGATGTGCGTTCCGGCCCCACATGGCATGCATCTTCCTGCGCCCCCTTGCCGCGAACTGACACCCACTGACCCCCTCCCCGCCGTGCAGATCGACAGCGAACTCAGCGCCGGCATTGCGCCGGCCGATCTCCGGTGCAGCTTCAGTCGCTATGAGATGACTGACCCGGTGAAGAAGTGCGCCTGCTCCCTCCTCCCGCCCCCATCCCTTTGGCCGCCTTTCCTTGGCTGCTCTCTTGCCATGTGTTTTGACCCGCTGTCCTTTGCGCCGTGCCCCTTCGCCCAGCCAAAACTGCCCACACCATGTGTCCAAGCGAGCGATCGAGAGCCCCGAATGGCCGCGGATTTGCCCCATCTGCAGTGTTGCCTTCAACCCCAGTCCCGATATCGACCATCGGTATGCCCGTCGTGTGCGCATTGCCATGCTCAAGAACTCGCTTCTCAATGACCCTGGCAACCAAACCACCTTCCTCTGAAAGAGGCCCAAATGAAATACCCCCCCACGCATACACATGCCCCACTTGGATGGAAGTCGCTGCCCGCGCCGCTTTTTTTTTTTTGCAGCCACCGCCATCACGCCCTTTTTCCTGCGGCACCGGTGTGGTCAGTTGGTGGGGAAAAGGCCCCGCGCCCACGCGGGAAGTCTAGTGTGGGTGGTCCCGCCAGGGAGGGAAGAAGGACAGAGACAGAACAGGAGGATCCCCACAACAGGGTGCAAGCCTGCCCTTGGCACCGGGGTCAAGGGGGGACACAGAGGAGGGAGGGGAAGGACGCCTCACCGGAAGTTGGAGAGCAGGAAGTCCGAGGTGATGGCGGTGTTCGGAGTGTCAGACAGGGTGATGATGGTCGGACAGAAGCCCTTCGAACCCCAGGGAGAAGTGGCATTGTCATCGAGGATGTCGCTGACGCGCGGGGGAACATTGAAGCGGTAGTCCAGGCAGCCGGGCAGGCCAAGGAGGCGCTGGGCCACCATGGCCAGGTCGTCGGTGGTCACGGCGTCTAGCCGGGCGATGGTCTCCTCGGCCGACATGCGGCTCGAGTAGTAGAGGCACTGCCGGCCCGTGTCGTCCAGGTTGTTGACACTCGACTCGAGGCCCATGAAGATGGCGGACCGGAGCTGGTTCTTGGCGCGCTGGAGTTCTGTGAAGCAGGTATTGGCCGTGGATGAGTGAGTGGACCACGAAGGGGGGGGGGTCTGGCGAGTTGACAGACCGGAGCGGCGGCGGCGGCGGCGGCGGCAAGGGAAAGGGAGAAAGAAAGAGGAGAGGAAGGTTGGCCACATGTGCGGGCGCGCGCGTACCCTCGGGCAGCACATGCATGAGGCCCATAAGCTCATGGAGAACGATCTGCGGAGGGGAAAGGGTGGCCAAAAGAGAGGGGCAGAGCCAGGGTTAGAGGCTGGTGGCCATGCATGTCGGGGGTATTGCGTGTGGCGACCCCTGCAGAGACACGTACGCGAGCCATTTGCTTCTCGCGGCCCTGGGAGAAGGAGGCGTAGACGTAGAAGATGCCGGTCTCGCGGTAGGGCATGGAGTGCGAGAAGGCCAAGTTCACCCAAGGGTGCCGGCAGAGGACATTGCGGTATAGGCGGGTGAAGACGCCCTTGCCGGGGCCACCGGAAGAGAAGGAGGCTCCGCCACCAAGCAGGAAAGTGGCCACACTCAGGGCAAAGAAGGCCGGATCATTGTAGCCGGGGGCTATTTTCCCCGTCGATCCGTCAGTTTAAGTACGTTTGTGTGTGTGTGTGTGTGTGTGTGTGTGTGTGTGCGCGCGTGCATGGGCATACACACATGGGAGAAGGCGTCAGAAGGAAAGACAGAGGAGGAGCAATCTCGTGTATCTGCATGTGCGTGTGCGTGTGCGTGTCCGTGCGTACACTCGAAGCCCAGGACCAAATGCGAGGTCGGCAGAGGCTCCATCGCGTTGGGGGGCTGACTCGGGGCCCAGAACTCCCCGCCAATGTACTCGGCGTTGGCATTGGTGATGATGGTGCTCGGGTCGACGACCTGAGGGTCCGGCGTGCGCCACGGCTGGGTCTCATACATGTCATGGACCAGGTCGACCATCTGGTCGTGGTCCACCCCGCCGACGAAGGCCACCAAGGCATTTTCCGGGCGGAAGAGGTTGGCATGGAATTGCCGCACGGCGTCCAGCGACGGGGGGGTCGACGTGGCCAGGGCCTGGCCCAGGGGGCGGCCGCCGGTGTACACGCCGTCCGAAGTCCGGCCACCAAAGGCCACCTGGTGCAGGAGGTCATTTCCCGCGTAGTTGGTCGGCATCTCCTCCAGCATGCGGAGCTGCTCCGGGGCCAGATACGTACACTCCTCATGGGCGGCCTCCGAGAAGAGGGGGTTGCGGATGATATCCGAGATGAACTCGTGCGACTTGTACAGGTCCGCCGGCATGACGCTCGTCTGGCAGATGGTCAGCTCGCGATCCGAGCCGAAGGTGAGCATGCCGCCGAGCTCGATAATCCGCTTGGACACCATGTCGTGAGGGAGGTTCGTGGTGCCCTGGGGCAGGGAGACACCCGGGCGGAAGGGCAAGGGGGCACCGGGGGGGGGGGCAGGAGGAGGGGGAGGCGGTTTCATGTGAGTGGTCATGGGTCGATCGGAGGGGGGCGTGCTCCCGGGGCCACACACACACACACACACACACACACACACACACGCATGGCGGACACCGAGGGAGGAGGAAAGCAGGAGGGCGGGGGATGGCACGCACACGCAGGGCATGCAGGTCCAGGTACTGCGCGAGGCCGGAGTGGGGCAGGTTATCGTAGCGCGTGCCCGAGCGCACAAAGACGCCGGTGTTGATGACCACGGCCCCGGTGCGCGTGGTGGCCACCTTCAAGCCGGAGGGCAGGGTCGTGAGCTGGGTTTTGAAGAGCTGATTGCTCAGCGAGTTGGAGTTGGTCACCGGGGCCGGAGCGTCGGGTCCGCCGGCGAAGCCCGGCAGAGGCTGAAGAATGGGAGTGGTCCGGGCCTTGTCGCTGCTGGACGGCGACTCGCTGCTGTAGCCGGGGATGATGACCTCCGGCGGGGGGAGGTCCACCGGGAAGCGATGGCCCGGACTGCGCGAGGCGGCCTGCGAGAAGAACTTGTCCATGGCCGACTCCTGGCCGGCCGGGGCGTCGGTGGAGTAGGCGGCCCGGCCGAGCCGGCCGGCCAGGGCCCCCGGAAGGGCGCGCCGGGCAGTGGCCGCGGCGAGGGCGGTCACACCGCAGGGCCCACTCTGCGGGAGGGACAGGAGCCAGGGACGCATGGCAAGCTATCGAGGCGGAGGGAGGGAGGGAGGGAGGGAGGGGGGGGCGGGGCGGGAGGGGAATGAGGCTAGCTGAGGCGGAGGAGGGGGAAAGGCGCGACCCAGACCCGGGGACTACTCTGTCGTTGCGGGGAGCGGGAGGGCACGAGGGGCGAGAGAGCGGCGGGCGGAGACGTGTGTTATTTTTCTCGCGAGCCCAGCACGCCAGAGCCCCCGGGACGGCGAACGCTTATCAACCACACCGCGCCGCCTTGGGGCCGGGCACGGGCTAGATGCCAACGATTCGCCATCCAAAGTCCCCACGGTGTTGCGCCCTCGCGGCGCGTTCTTTTCGCCCCC